ACACGTACTGTGATGTTCACAATTACTAATTTTATGGAGGAAAAAACAAAACAATTTAATTAATTAAAATAACAATTTGTAATATTCGTATAAATACAGTTTTTTTTTTTTAACAAATTATTAAATAGGTACAATAAACTATGTAAGTGCTTGAGCCTCTGAGATTTTCATATTTACATTGCTATAGATTATGTTAGTTTACATTTATTTTACATATTATTCCATTTACATTTAAAGTGTTACAGTAATATTATTATAATTTATAGTAATAGTATATAACCGTAATAATTATAATTGTTTTTTTTTTTAATAAATAAGCGCCGTGTAATTCTAAGCCTCTAGCGGTTGCATGGAAAAGTAAACAATGATAATTGCACGTGAGAAAATATTGAAAGGCATGCCTTAATAATTGCACGCATAAATATGATTATTTGATATGCACACCAGAGGGGCTGTGAAAGATAAAGAATGTTGTCGAGTGGCGGGAGTTTTTTTTGAGGTCACGTTCAACAACCAATACATTATAATGAATACTACTTTGACCTCATATAATTTTCCGGGTTACGCACTGTATGTGTTAGGTGTTTATGTACGCGTTCTTATTTTATTTAACATTATTACTCTTTTGTAAACAAAACATGCCTGTATGACTATTTACATATTTTAGATTTTTTATTTCCATAGTAAACCACTACTGTAGCCTGTAGGTGTCTCAAATTGTTGGTAATAACTAGTTTAGCCAATTATTAACAAATAGGTACAATGAAGATGTTAAATATGAATGGTTTTGTATACTAGACCCCCCCCCCCTCATATGATAATAGTTATTTTTACTTATTAGGTTTACAATCGGAGTGCATCCGGTTATGAAAAGAGAACTTCCTTCACACTCGTTCTCTTCTGACATATGTCCAATGATTTCATTAGAATATATGAACTCTCGACACTGCACTAAACCATAATTACTTTACAAAATAAGTAAACAAAATTAAAAATGTTTTCTTTCGGTTACAAAATAAAGTAAAATGACGTAACAACTTAATATTTTAATAGGTTTTAAAATACACAAAATATAATGTAATAAGGAAAGTTTTGGTCCGCTTTAAATATGTATCTTACTTTTGATGAAAAGTATTTAGGTATCTTTTTAGCTGCTGATATAACGATATAAATTATAAATAGGTACATAAAAAGGTAAATTACCCAAAAATAGTAGAATATGTATTGTACATAAGTATGTTTAAGGAAAATATTTTATCATATAAATGGTCCAGCTATGATCTTAATATTATACTATCGACTCAGCGGGCAATTGCCAACCAGTCTCTTATTCCCTAACGACATATATCTATAAAAAATGTTTATGCTTTTTGATGGATGCACCCAGAATATTTTAATTAAGTGCATTTTGAGACTCATATAAGGATTTGGTGATTTATGCTCTCGATTCATGCTTGTAAACATGTATATAGTCTCTTCATAAATTAGTATACTCATCGGCACACTATTAGAAAGCGTTTTTTTATAGGAAATAAAAATAACTCATAGTGTAAGTTTCTTCGTTCGTGGTTTTAGATCTTTCGTTTATATATTAAAATTAAAAATAATACGATTTAGTTGCTCACCTAAATAAATAAATTAGATGACTGTGATGCCATTTAACTATTATCAAAATTAATTAAGCTTAATGATGGCGTACAATTTTAATTAAAATAAAACATAGCTACGTAAAGCCGTAGTTGCCAACATTATGATTTAAACCCAAGTTTCAAGACACGATAAACCAAAATGTAAATTGTATGAAAACAATAAGGCACGCAAGTTTTGCTATTTTCCTATTTACGTGTTTACTTATTACTTTCGTTTTATGTAGAGACTATAATATAGGTGACAAAAGATGCATCCCATTAAGAAAAATGTATCTTTTACAGAGTATAGTCATTATTCACCAGAGTGGTGCAACTCTGCGTGACTGATTAGGATATTATAACGGTCATTTTTTTTTTGTAGAGTAAATGTAATGGTAGTATAATACGACGTGATATTTTTATAACTGGAAGCTTAATAATAGTTTAGAGAACCTCATAAAAATTGGCGCGTATGTGACCGCATTTCACAAGGGTGGCCAGTACTCCAAAGGTTCTTATTTTTAAGTAAATTATTATAAAATATGTTTTACATACACAAAATTAATCATAAGGTTTACCGTAATTTCATTATTACATTCTAAAGAGGACACGGTTATGAAGATATTAATAACTATCAACCAGCATTGGTTTATCGTCAATTAGAAAGTCACAATGTATACATAATTTAATGTATCAAAATCATTAGACGAGATAATCGATTTTGCTCTAATCCAGTATAGGAAGCTAGTTAGGTAACGCGTAATAGTTATAAATAAAATATAAAAACTTCTATCTAGTTTTGAATAATTTCCTTTTTCTGGGCAATAATTATTAGGTATTGACCATACTTATTATAGTAAAGTACGAACAGTTTATTATTAGGCAACTAATTCAGAATGAAAACAGAATAAGTTAGAAATTAATTATTAATAGCTGGTTTATTAATTAGATAATAAACCAGATTTAACAGGTATAATAAATACCAATAATTCAATGATGTAGTCAAGCTATCTATCGCTTTTGTCTTTTAGTAAAAAAATAAAGAACATAGCAAATCTAGGACACAAAATACGATATTTTCTCAGTCAGTCTTTCTAAAAAAGAATCACAATTGTGTTTTAATAATAGGTTATACTAACGGAGCTAAGACTTGTTTTAATATAAGGCGTTAAAAACAAGCTGTAGGTATTTTAAATTTTGATTTATGGTCATTTTCTATTAACTAGTATATTAAGGAGCAATATTATAATAAACAAATATGGCGTATTAATTTGTTTTTGAGTTCTATTCAGTATGTCTTGAATTATATCTATAAAATCATTAAAATCTTCGTCTGTTTTTAGGGGATAAAACAAGGATCACATGCTTGAAAATTTTACATTGGATATAGAACATAAATTCAATGTGAGCTTCTAGTGTCCAGAAGTAGAGAGCACATTACTAAAAATCAACATCTCAATCGACGTCTGACGAAAACACTTGACGTCACATTCAAAGCAAATATGATACTGCAAATAATTGGGTAATTTTTTACGTACCAATAAAATAGTTTATTTCCATGTACATTTTAATTTCATAATTAAATAATATTATTAATTTTAAATAATATTAATTTAAGTAGTTTAAAACAATATCTTTGTAAAAAAATAATTTGAGAGTTAAATTACAATTTCTAAAAAAAAATTAAGTTCTGTGATTTAGTGGATACATTTTTTGTAGGTTTAGGTCAGTTTGGATTTAAACAATTTTACATATTATTCTGAAATGTTTAATGTAATGAAATGAAATTAAATGTTTTGTTGGTTAAGCTATTTTGCTGTTATGCGCCTCCCAGATATGGTGGACGATAACTATTCAAAATTATATGATGTGAAATCACTACAACGGTAACATTAAACAACTATATTTAATAGGTAACCACAAAACAATAACGGTAGAAATTGGTGTTTAAGTATTACATATATTTCTTTTGCGAATTGCGTGTATCAGTTTTATATAACTACGAATTACAAGTACGTAAAATAATTATTATTGCATTTTATTTACTAGCGTTAAAGTCACTATATAAATATAATATTAATATTGATATTGAGCGATAAATATTCTTAAATCAATAAATACGGGTTCTGAGAATATAAAACCAGTATAAGATATATTTTGTCATGGTCGTGAAAAAAATGGTGACTAAATCGAAAACATAACGTGAAAAAAAATAATATGCATTTATTTATATATCTATTAGCATCAGGTACCAAACAAAAGTAAACAAGCTTTCTATAACGGGATTAAAATGTATTCGTAATTTACAATTTCGTTGATATAGTTAGTTTAAATCTATCATTTAGGAATCTTAATTTTTTATACTTGTGTATCCATTACTTTTTAAAACAAATATCAAATTTGCTATACCTCATATTAACTAAAAATTAATAAAACACTTGGTCCTTTGACACAATGCTATTGTAAATTAAATTATACAAGTATTTTTATAAATATATATGTATTAAAAATAAAATTCCACCAATTTTTCCATCTATATAGGTATAGGTTAACATTTAAAATCATTACGATATGCTTTGTTTACACGATCTACACGTCGAGTTTGTGAAAGGGTTTTACCTTTCAGTATCCGTTAGTATTTACATTTTAGTTATAACATAACTGACAAATGGTAGCTCGTGATATGCTTGGTCGACTGTCGAAGGTGCCCGCCGGATCCGGTGATCCAGAGGCCTCGGAATCGCCCAACAAATGTAGGGTCAGCCGGCCAGAGGCAAGTGTTGGCGCAGTTAACTGTTCGACTATTAATATTTATAGCTGAAGTAAACTCCATGTGATTTGTACATTTTTACTTTTATTTTAACTGCTAATGCTACAAAACGACCAAGTCGATCAACTCGGTATTTCGATCAAATCGCGTGTTTTACACAAGGACGGACTCTGCTGTTTCTCTGCCGACCGACATTGTCAACTGTGCGTGGGAAAAATAACGTACTCGCCAATCGATCGTAGCCGGCCGACCGTACATCGATATGTCACCGCGTAAACATAATAAAGGGTGTCCCAAAAATAGCGCAACCATGTTAAAAGTTGCGCCATTTTTGGGACACCCTTTACTTAGTGCACCTATCTAATAACCACTCGGTATGGAGGTCACTCTTCAGAATTCGGAAATAGCGAATACTCGTGTCGGTTTATTACTAATATATATTATGAAAATGTAAAGAAAACAAGTCACCTACGTACTGCCATCTGAAATGTGTGTGAAGCAGCAGCGACGGTGGCGGCGGCGGCGGGAGGACCTACAAGGGGGGTGAAGTCCGGGGGGCCACGATGAGGAGTTCGATGCACCGTGTATGCTATAGCTGCCGCTGCCGTCCTGTAATATTATACCCGTCGCAGTCTTAGCGTTCACAGGTCAGTTTATTAGTTCCGTCCGTCCTCGAGTCGTTCACTGTTAACCGTGTTCTTCCGCCTATCGCGTTTTCGGTGTTCTTCTCATCACGAAGTCAGCTACTCGATAAGCGTTAAGTGAGTTAACACGATTTCGTACTTAAATAAACAATACGTTTATATTTTTTTGTAATATACCTAATACTAACTAGTAATAACATTAAACGAGCAATTAACTTAAAAATTTGGTAGCTCGTCTATACGATGCGCGAGTATACCATACTACCTATTTAGCTCGTTTGTAAATAAATAATAGTACAATAATTATTATTATATATATTGGTAACATAAATTACATGTATTATATTTATTCTCTGATTTATTTGTTAGTAAACAAGTCAAACGTTATAAGGTTTAAAACGTAATTTTCAATTTTAGCATTTATTATACTATTTTTTATATCCTTAACGTTTCCGGTAGTTTGAACGTTGATGCATTCTTACATAGGTGTTAAGAATTGTTTGGTAAAGGTTTATGTTAAAACTTCTATCAAATTTCCCGATTGTCACTTATAAAGTCGTAATCTTCGTAAAGGCTCCTTCATTGCCACTATTATTATAATAATTACGTATTAAAGGCGCGATGTAGGTATTAAAAGATATGGCAGTCACCCATCCGAAAACGAACGGCATTGGCTACTTCCACAGAATCGTCTATTGTACCACAGCATGCTCGTTCACGTTAAAATGTGTAAACTATATTATTTCTTAAAATGCCTCGACAAAACCTGGGATTTTGTGTAGGCAATTACGGGAGAGGTTGTTTTAATTTAATATTCGTCGTCTCTTAAATATTCGTGTACACACAAGCATATTATAATATTTGTACATAAATGTATGTTCGGACCTTCTTTAGCGAGGACCACTGCACAAATGTTAACGACCCGTCTTCGAGCTAACATACAACGTCGTTGACAATTTAGGAATTACGGGACTTTGCGGGCGTTCCGCTGGAGACGTATCTATTACATCTTTAGCTATGTTTACATGTGAACGACCGTATCCAAACGTTTGCCAGAAGTATGTGTCTGTAATAATATAATACGATCGGCGGGTCGGTTGGTGTGAATGTATGTGTGTGTGTGTTAAAAGAGTGGCTTCTGTTTGGACTACGCGATTGATTTTAGATAGTACGTGTGTCCGTTATAGTAATAAAAAATACCATTGTTTATATTTCGCCGAATAATTTATTGACCAAACCGATGGACCGTGACTCCCGGCAATGACCTTCCGGTAAACTGACCGCGTTTTCAAATCTGATCGACTCCGTGAACGCGCCAAGACAAAGCGCGTTTCTAATGGAAATGATATTATTATTATAAAAGGAAGAAAAAAAACAATCAAACACTAGAAGTAATTATAACGGAGTCCGGCGAACAGCCCTGGTGGTCGTCGGGCATGAAATACGGCGCAGTGCAGTTTTGACCCGTATTTAAAATAAAGCTAATTACCAACGTCTTATTGGGTCTGTGTCAGCGTTTCGACTCTCGCGGATAGCGGAAATCCATCAATTAGCCGCATAATATCACGTATTTCTGGACAAAAACCTGTTGTAAAATCTAATGACTTCAATCTCCCGTGTGCGGTGTCGTTGAGTAAAACACTCGAAATAAATCTTAGGGAAAACGACCTCTCTCGGGAACACGAGTGCAAGTTGAACGGTCGGCAGATTTCCCTTCCGCTTGTAGAAGAAATTCCACGAAGTAGTCCGGATATAAAATCAATAATTTCCTCCTGTTTTGCTATCGCGATTTACATGGTTTTTGTAGATGTTTCGATTAATGAGACGTAACAGGGTTATTCTAATTTTTTTCCAGACGACGGACGTTCGTAGTTGATGCAAAAAAACAATATTATGCTTGTGTAATTTGGTTAAACGTGTACCTACGCTTTGTTGAGAAAATAGTGCTTATTTTTTTTCCATACACGTTCAGTTAAACGATAAAAATTGGCCTCGTTTCCGACTATTCATTATAGATTACGCATGGTGCTAAGATGTGCGTAAACTCTACTGACTTGTAACACGCCCATGTTAATTCAACAACAGGTTACATTCGTTCTAATAAATTGATTGGTGGGATAAGTGTATGAGATGCAAGAGCGCGGCTTTCTACGTTTATTGATGAACATTCGTTTGATTATAGCTAACCGCTTTGTCCATAACGAGTATGACCAATATGACCAAATAGTCAGAAAGTAATTTTTTGTTCAACGAGTCAAATCGCTTTATAAAATAAGCATATAAATTCCTGAAATTATCCATACTTACAGCGGTTAAGTATAGACAAATACATAAATATATTTATATATATATATAAATGAATATCATAAGCCAGGTAAAAAGTGAGTGAATTGGTTACGTCCGAATAAATACTATATAAAATATGTACTTAGGTATACATATTTAATGTTTTTAAGTTTGTTGATAAGTATAGCTAAATGACGATTGATATATTAAGTAACAAAAACTATTTGTATATTTGAAAATATAATGCAACAATTTGATATTTAAAAAAAAATTAATTCTTGTTAGCTTATTTTTTTAAATTAAAAAATAGAATAAAATAGGTTAGCCGTTAGACTATATGTTTTTTCACATAATATGTAAATGAAGTGTTAAGTTTAACAATTTTTATATTTATGATTAAACTAGAACTACATAATTATACAATACAATTATTGTAGTTAAAATATTTAAAATTCTATAGTAAGAAGTCTAGATCTATCTACATTAGCTAATGTGATGATCATTCTGCAGCTAAATCTATTACCATCTATAGAAGAATGGGGAAAGTTGATATGTGATCTTTTTATCAATTTGTTTTATATGCCATTCTCCCCCTCCTCTCAACATGAACTGCTTATTTAGGAAAGGAAATGTGTCAACAAATCCATAATGCTGGGAAAACACAAAAACCCGTTTTCAGCTAAACAAAAACGTTTTGAAAAATCAACAAAATTCCTATTTATTAGGCACTTACAGCGGACATTTATATATAGCGGATATTTTAATTCCTTAATAGAATATGAAAAACATGATGGAACAGAAATTTAAAGTGTTTCAACGAATCAAAAATGGTTTATTCTCTAAATAATATACCCTTGAAAAAAAAGTTGAACGAATAAAAAAGAAGTAATTGTAAAGAACTTCATTATTGCCACATTTAATTATAATTAACATCATATTATATTAGACTTATTTCCCTTCATAAATAAACAATTTTTTTTTGGTACAAATTTTTTAGGCTTTTATATTAAATACGTAGACTGTTCTTTTTAATGTACAAACTTGTTCGGTTCACTTTACAAAATGTTTTGCAACCAAAAATTAATTTTCATTAAAATGGTGACTTATATCCTGTCTTGAATAAGCGATACATATATTATAATAAGCAAAAATCATCTTTCAACAAAACAATTTTAAAATTTTAATAAAGCACAAATGAGATTTCTTTTAGTAAAATTATATTTTCATATAATAAAAAACTATTTATTCTTTACTCTCTTTTTTCATTCTCTCACCAAAAAAAACAATTGCATCATTTACACATTTTCAAGTTTTAAATTAAATTAATGATCGCTTCGGTCTTACTTTGGTCCTAACTTACCATCCTGGTTTTTGTATGCTCAAGCTAATTATTTTAATTTTACAACAATATAATTTAATCAATTGCTTATTTGATTAGCTACACTTAACTACATATTTAAGTGCTAAAAACCATATACGGATTCGAAAATGTAAAATTATTACGTATAAAAAAAATAAGTAGGAACTTAGAACAAAAAAGCAGATGCGATTATCATGGTTCAACCTACCATTATCATTATAACACTGCGTGAAGTAATTTATAAAAAGTAGGCAAACAAACTTATCCCAGCGTGTTAACGTTTTCTTGATAGAAATATGTGTCTACTATTAATTATTTTGCTTTGTGCATTTTTTTGTTAAAGTCGCGATTGGGTTTATTACAGACTAAATAGTATAATACAGCCTATAAACTAAAATCAATAAAACATAATTTAAACTACTACGGCCTAGAGTCAAATTGGAATAGCGTGTTTTATTTTAAGCTTTTATAATATGTACGTTAGGTAACAATATTCATTTTGTATATTTTGGTGTATTAACAAAAAAAACGAATTTATTATTTGTTATATATATATATAATATTATCTACATGTAACTATTTCTAATAAACAGAGAGGTGGAATCATTATTTCGTAACTGCAGTAAAAGTTTTTAAAACTGTTAAGAAAAAAAAATGAACAGAAACCATCTCGCAATCAATTAATCTTGTAGAGTTTTTAGATCGATTTCATGATTTATCATCAGACAGTTGAGAGGTTATTCAATATTTTCGGAAAGAAAGATATTTTAGTTGCTGTGGTGACGTCTGTGCCCGCGGCGGTTGGAAATTAGACACTTATACTTGATCATGGTTTGAATGTATCCCTACCAGACGCTATGTATGTGTGAGTATGTGCGAGTGTACCTTGTGTATGCTACCTACTATATTATTCTTCGTCTGAGGGGGCACGCATAACGGTAAACACATTCCTGTTATGTGCACGACCACGAGCCCAGTTGGCTTTACAGCCACCGCCAAATCTGACAAAACACTAATTGTTGGCCTCCGAGTTCACTTTAGAACATTTTTTTTACCACATTTTCTAGTATTTATGGGAGCTTGTAAAAGCTTGTATTTTTTTAAAACTTTTTGTCAATTACTGTATAACAGAACAAAAAAAGGTTTTTTGTTAAGAAATAGTTTCTTTTAGATACCAATTAAGGTACGATTGTTGAACAGCCGAGATGCTGTTTATATCGAATTTCCATCTAATCGTGACTTCAACCTAAAAAAATAATTCCTCAGCTTCACATTGCAGCTAAGTACATATCTGATATCTATAACGCTAACTTGCGTGTGCTTGAAATCAGAGTATATATCAGAGTATACTTAAAGACTACGTGATAGTCGTAATAATTAAATGAACGACGTTTAAATATTTTAATTGTGGGTCAGTCAAAACCTAACTGTTTATATTTACTGAAATAATATTTGACGTGGTGTGACTCACGAAGTGTTGGATATTATCAGGCCACGCATCCTTACGGCCTAACCTGCTTATTCATGATGTCTATTTCATGGTATATAATTCGATTTTGCAAATAATTACAGCAGATCACGTGGTAAATGTGTGAATTATTATTACAATACTGTGGAATATAAATATACTTGTATAGATTTAATTTTAGTAGAAAAAATATTCTGAAACGAGTAAAATTTACAGATTTATCGCATTTAACAGATTCCAACTTAAATATTTGTTTCATTTTTTTAAACCGTGAATCAAAAATACAATAGACATATACTTAAGATAGCATAAAAAACCCATTATTGTAAGACCGATAACTTCTCAGCACGACTACTCAGCTTTGCATCGATGCTACATAGACTTGTAATTAAATTGTTTTAATAATTTTAAATATTAACACATATTAATTATAATATATTTTTTTTTTTTAATGACGTGCATGTTTTTAGGAATCTCATTTCCAAATAAATGCGGTTCCAAAAAAACTAATAATAAAAAAATACTAGTAGTTGTTTATGATTGTTGATTGTATTGGTTTTAATGTAGTATTTTAACTAGTTTATGACATTCCAATTAGCCAAAATTTTAGTTACAATTTTTCCAATTATTACTTTTAATGAATCCTTTAGAGTAAATCTTGTACATTTTTTTTTGTATGTGCTAGTCACTACTGTGAATTGTCGTCGATATTCATACTTTTCATCGAGGTTTAGTCTATTGCATAACGGTTTATTGTATCATAACAATAAGAGCAATAATAGAATCAATATAATTATTGTTAATATAGGTATTACGGAGAGTTATAAACCGTAGCTCTCCGTTGTAACTGTTTTTCTCTAAAGCAATACCACTAGTAAACGTAGCAAACATCTTCAGTTTTTAAAGCTGTACACAATACACATACATCACACCGTGTACTGCAGTAGTCAGTAGTCTTTCAATAAACTCTTTAATCTGCAAACATTATATCAGTCACAGTTATTGTTTGCGTTGATATATTATTCAATCAATAATACATAGGTAACTTAATTAAGCAATTAATAACTTAGTATGACGTCTTCTGTTTCGTTAAAAAAAAATTAAAATATACACAATTGAAATAATGTATTGTTTTGTTACAATCAAAAAACGAAAAAAAATGTATGGATGTGTTAGGTCATACTTATACTCTAAAACAATATTATAATTGGTTTACTTTTAAGTATTACTGCTATGTAGAGTAGTAAAATTATCTTTAAATAAGTTATTTATTCTACTCGAAGGTTATAAAAAAAAATTACACCCACTCTACCAATATTTGCATGAAAGTATAATGAACCCTTTTTTATGATATGTAACGGATTTAAAAAATTACGAACAAGGTTTTATTTAATATTATTAATACCTAAAAGGCAAAATCAAAAGTTTAAAATTTACTGGTTTGTACCTCTTTAACTAACAATGAGAATCCGAAAACCCTGATTTTCATTAAACAAAAATGCTATTAAGCCGCTTAAAATTCTTATAAGTATAAACATTATTAAAATATGTAGCTGTATACCAAAATTACATATTTTTGATAAAAATTAAAAAATAAAACACAACACTAAAAAGTTAAATTGCTTATGGATTTCGGATTTATTGAAACCTGAAAGCAAGTCCACATAGTATATACAAAGATAATAGTTTTTTCATTTTCATCAAAACATTTTACATAGGTTTACAGCTTTATAGTGTTATAATATTTATTATTTATTCGATTTTTAAGTGGTTAAAATAGCGTTTCAATAAAATTTGTATTGTCATATCTATAATATAGTTAACTCCTACCAAATTGTATTGGTTGTACTAATAATATAAAACCACGTATAAGTTAATAAAAATTATTTTTTATTTTAAACATATATATATATATACATATATTGAAGAAATAAAAAAATTCTAATCAAATGTAAATTTTTTCAGATTAGTGGTGTTACAATGAGAAGAATCAACCGTCGGTTGGTTATATTGTCGATCGTAATCGCGTGTGATTTAGTGAGTGTTTTCGGAAGACCACAACCGCATACTACACCACCCAATTACTTAAAAGGTAAATAAAATTAGAATTAATATATTAAATCACTGAATAAAACTACGACAGTCTTAAAGTACAATTGAATAATGTACAATAAATGGGACACACTTAAGAATAATTTTAAGAAGGTGACATTTAAATTATACGATTATTTATTTATTTGTTAGGTACCTATAACGATCAAAAACACCAATACTCCTAATATAATTTTTCATTTAATAAAGAAATTAAGTATACATATGTGCTCGGAATTCTAAGTATTTATTATTATAGCGTTTTTATGACAGCATGTACGTTTTATAAGTTCTTACGTTTTCTTCAATTAAGAGGGCGCCGCACCGGTGATTTTCAGTGGTAAAAACATGTTTACGCCTACTGAAAATAACTCATTTCATTTTGGTTTTAGAGTAAAAGCACCCATTATAAAACTAAAAGAAAACAGTATTCCAGAGGGCATCACGGTGCGTTTTTAAAAAAAAATGCATTTTTTTAGAAGTTACAGTCATTTAAAATTTAAATAGTCGTTATTTCTAAACGATGTATTGAGCGTTATACTTGGAATAATGAAAAAAACGCACCGTGGTGCCCTCCGGAAAATTGTTTTCTTTTTATTGTATAATGGGTGCTTTTACAATAAAACACAAATTAATAGAGTTATTTTCAGTCTGCTTAAACACGCAGAGATGATTTTTTTTTTAAAATCACTTTCAAAGATGCTGTGATAGTCCTAAAAATAAATTAACTATTAAAATAGAGTCCTAGTTATTGAACTAATAATTACACATCACAGTTTCATTGATTTTTTCTAACCTTTAAATTAAGATTTTGTAAAAAATTGCCTATACTTTACTCCTTAAAAATGGACGGTGCGACGCCCTCTTAATAGTGTTGTACTTAAAATTTGATGTATCGAAAGTAATTATCAGTCATTATTTTAGTTTTTACTTTTAAACATAATATATTAATATAGATTCAGTAGTATGACTTATAAGCATATAAATATTAAAAAGTACGGTAATATGTATTTTTAGTTGCCTATACAGTTCGCCGTGAAAACGATATATTATGGTACTGATAACTCCTTAGAATATATTTAATAAAACATGTACTAACAGATAAAGTGTCGTGATAATTATTTTTATTTACTTTATAATGTTATAATGTTTAATTATAAATAATATAAAACAAATACTAATCTAAGTCTAGTTTGATTTTCTAACGATGGGACTTTTCTTGTTTCAGATGATGGTCAAAATAACAGGTACACAGGTTTTGCTATGGACACACCAAGATCATTGGCATCTTTGGAACACTCCTTAAACACATCTAAAAAACAACATTCACCAAACGTCACGTATAAAGTAGAAGACACTCAGTTTACCGAACCTGATCCATTTCTTCGGCCTTTTTTCCAATTCCTTTTAAATTCATCGAAAAGAAAAAAACGCAATTTAATTAAATCTTCTGATTCTAGATTAGTTAAGGACTTCATTCGATATTCAATTAACGACCTCCAAAATCCAGCGCGTAGTGATTCCCTAGACTCGCTTACTCATGAACATACTTATGAAGACGATAACTCTGATTATGACCCCGAAACTGATAAACAATATTTGCCAGTGCCAATTTATACAAACGTACCAAAACAGAAACCAGGGTCCCAATGGGTTTCATCTGTTTCTTTATCGGGTGCCATATACCAATCATCAGCCCAAGATCCATTAAGAAATTGGCAAGAAACCCCTTTAGTGTTTCCTGGTGGTAATAAAAAACCAGCCACGACTCGCCCACCATTATCTTCAATTCAATATCCGGAATATGATGTACCTGTTCTAGTCAACGATGCTTCCCCAACTTTTATCACCCCAATAGAACTTCAAGCACCTACATTTGTTACACCTATTGAATACCAAGGGCCTTCATTTGTAACTCCCATTAGTGTGACTCAAACTACTTCCAACGGGAAACCACCACCCACTATAGTAATATTAGAAGATATAGACACAGTTGCAGATTCTCCGTTAAGCGATCCTATAGTTGAGAGTGATCCAGCCAGTGGGGGAGCTGCGGCTGGAGGTAGTGGAGGTGGAGTGGCCGCTGCAGCTGCTGCAGCTGCTGCTGGGGCTGCGACCGCAATAGGTGCTGGGGTGGCGACAGGTATAGTTGGTATTGCTGCAGGAGGAGCCACCGCTGCAGCTACTAGCGTAGATGGGGTTGCTGGTGGTGGAGGCGGGGGTGGTTTAGCAGGAGGAGAAGTTGGAGAAGGAGTTGGAGGAGGAGCTGGAGGTGTTGGAGCTGGAGGTGTTGGAGGAGGAGGAGGAGGAGGAGGAGGAGGAACACCAACAGTGGCAAATGGAGTTCAGTGTAGAAGTGGAAGTGCTTCAAAAATATGTTCTGATTTAATAACGACTACTTCTACATCAGTAAGTTCAGATTCTACGTCATACACTGATTATTTGATTACAATACTTACTTCCCTCAATATTTTCGGCCCTTTGGCAATGACATTTTGGTCAATACTTTTTCCACCCATGTCTATTATATTAACCAGTGGTATAGGTGTCCTTTCTATACTTTTTCCTTGGATTATACCAAGGATATGGTTAGGACGTCAATTAAATAGTGCATTATATATTAGCCAATCAGATGGAAATACGAATTATGATAACACACCTTACCGCCAATCATATTATAAATATTATAATTAAAATCGTTAGTGTTCAAATACATTAAGTAATTTTGTTTTTCCTTTCAAAAACTCAGGTTTGGTAATAACGAGTATACGTCTTATTAAACTTTAACTAACATTTGTATTATAAATTAATATTGTAGCATTAAAGTTATTAAAATATTAGTTGTAATTTACAGGCTGTGACGACGTTAATTCGATGTATGAGTGTATAAATTGACAAAATTATGTTTAAAAAAGATATTTTTTACGTATAAATGTTATACGTCGTAACTAAATCAATAAAACATATTTATTCATAGTCAGCCTTTTTCTTTTATCTTTTGTATTTTTTTATGTATTATTTGAAAGTACAAAATTAAAAATTAAAATATAAAATTGATTTGTTTTTAGGAAAGAAGTTTCTTCAACGCCATCATTTATTGTTGCCGATACTTCAACTCTCTCAAGCGATGGCCGTTCTCACACAACAAAAGCTCCAGTAATGGGGGATTCTTTCAAGTCTGTCACTGACCAATTACTTCAAACTTCTGTGTCTTCCGATGTCGTCGAAGTTAAAACGTCTCAAAAAACAGAATCACCCCCGAAAGGTGAAGCTGTGCCCGTACTTACCGACGAAGATGTACATGCAGTAGGCCCTTATACTTATAAAATATCATCTGATGGATCAACAAAACCAACTGGAGATTTATCAACGTGGATTCTTTTGGGAGCAGAATCATCGCCTGCGCCCATAAATATGGCAACCATTAAAAAAGTACCGAAACCAGCAGATACGACTGTATCTTCATTTATACAACCACATGAAACCAGTACAAGAAAAAGAAAACCCACTACTGAAAAAATGAGTACTACTCATATTCCAGTGACAGAATCGTCTATTAAATTACAAGACTCAAAATTCAAAAATAAGACGCCAGTAATTGTTGGTAAAATACCATCTACTACAGCAATTAAAGAAAAAATTGAAGAGCCTACCACACCACTTCCTGAACTTCCTCCGTTAGACAATAATACTCGTTTTGGCACACCAGTTGTAACTTTTCCTCATGTTCCACCAAGACAACGACCTTCAGCAAATAACACAAAGAAAACAACTCCTCCAGAAAAACCATTGAACACAAAAATAACTTCGACAGCTGTAGTTATTTCTAAACCAGCTAATACAACTATAGTTGCTTCTAATACTACTTCGGTAGTTGCTACTACTAATTCTTCTACAACTGCTATACAATTACAAAACACTACTGAAACAACAACTATTAGTTCAAACTCAACAGTAAAAAATACTTCTCTCAAAAAAAAAAAGAAGAAGAAAAACAAAAATAAGCGTAGACCAATTAAAACCTCGAATAATGAAGATGCTCAGAGCAAAATAGATGAGCAGCAAACTAAAATAACCCCCGGAAGGCCACTGTCAACCCGAATTTATAACTATTTGGCTCGCGAAGTTATGCCAAATGTAGGAGTAGGTATAGTCGGCTTAATGCTGACTGCAGGGTTAGCCGGTTTATTATTGTATTCTCCATTAGGAGGAGCTGCTGTACCTCTGGTACCCTTAAGAAGAACTGACCCACATTCGCACGGCCATAGTCACGGACATAGCCCTGCCGGATATGTACCTCCTGAAACTGACAACTCTCAACCTGAAGAACAAGTATTTGGACAAGTTTTATCTGGGATGTCATATGGCCACAATCCTTATGGCAGAGAACGTCCAGAAGTAGCACCAGCCCAAGCTCCAAATCCAAAATATAAGCCGTCATATCAGCCATCTGAATATCCTGCTCATGACGTACCCAAGTATACTGTTCATGACAATAGCAAATATCCTTCTTCACACGATGCAAGTAAATTCACTGCTATAGAAACAAATAAATTTACCGCCCCGGATACTACAAAATACAGTGCACCTGACAATACCCAATATTCTGCTCCAGATACATCCAAATATTCTACAATCGATGTAAGTGTTCCTCAGGAAAAGGTATCATATCCTTCTCTAGAATCCTCTCAAGGACCACCTTTTGAAGAAACACAGGAAAATCAAGAACAGCCTTTTAAAAATCACCATTACGAACAAATCAAGTTTGACGCATCAAATGCTTATGATCAACCTAAATATCCGGCAGAAGTACAAGGAACTACTTACCATGAAAATCAGCCATCTTTTGAATCACCCAAGTACCCAGGTTATGTCCAAGACGTACCAAAAGAAGAAGCCGTGAGAATCGATTATAACTTTGATAACCACCGAGCTGATGAAAAAGTAAGCTCTACAACTTCTTCTGCAGAGCCCACGTTTTCCGCTCTTCAAGGTGTTCCGAAGTTCTACGAGCCCAATGTAGACTCAGAACAAATATCAGTAAATGTACGCCAAACAATGACAATGGAACATGGTCCTAGAAGTCTACGGATTAGACGCCAAGTAGATGAACTCAATGAAATTGATGCTCAGCTGCCAGAAGAGACGACGACAAAACCTAGTGAACAAACCAATTCTAATAAAATTGAAAGTTTAAGTAACGGGGATGATAACACTACTATGTCATCAACCAGTACAACTATAATAACATCTTCTAGTACTGAATCTACATCAGTTAACAATAACAATAATCCGTACTCATTAGTTGAACTTTTAAAAAGGATAGCTGAGGTAAAATTAAAAATGGGAATAGAAATTCTAAAAAATACAGCTGCGAGTTTTACCCATTATGTTAATGCTTTACAAATGAGAATGACACATGTAGTAAGGAATCTTCAAAAATCGAATAACAGAGTGCAACCAGAATTGAAACAGGAGCAAAAGAAGGAAGAAACCTCAACTAAAACTACTGAAAAACGACAACGAAGATCTATTAGAGACAGAATTTCATCAAACTAAATATTCAAACTAAATTTCCGTTAATATAAATAAGTATGGTGAAGTGATGGGAATGTACAATGACACGGGACATTTTCTCTTACAAACATTTGAAGACTAAAAACTTTTCCTAAAAATATTTTTTAAAAATGCCAATCATTTTTTAGGCTTCCAAGTTTTGGGATCTATAAACATATTTTAAATAGTTTAGATTCATAATATGTTTTCAAGAGAAAATAATAATATGTTTTTAAATGTAGTATTTAATCACATATTATTAGCTAAATATTCAGTACGTGGCCTGGATTTTATAATTTTGTATTTTTCTATGTAAATATTAATTTAAATGTATGTTTTTTTACGTCACAATATACAATGTTTAATTTTAATAAAATATTGAATATTTGTTTATTTGTATTACCCCTTTATTTATACTTAATTCTACCGCGAAGTAATATGTTGTGTATGCATAATGAAAAATAAATTATATACATAATATGTAATAAATTAATTAAATAGGTTTAAATTAATCTTAGTATAGTCAAATTAATAAATAATACATTTTTTGTGTAATTACATAACAGTGCTCTAAAAATACCTATTTAAGATATCAGCAACAATATTAAATAAACATTGAGCGGAATATAAAGGAAGAAAGGTCACATTATATTTGTAGTATCAGGAGTTATCTAGGGAAGACGTGATGGTGCAGAATAACTTGAGGTCTGGTAGGAATTTCTCTCCTTTTTCTCCCAACCATCATCGGTAAAAACATGGCCATAGTAGCTGCTGGTAACATTCCAGCACCAACTGCCGCAAGCACAGCTCTGTGATCATCGTTGGTCTTGGCTGACCTATCAGAAAACACCTGTACGTCGTTATCGTTTTCTTTGAGTGCTCGAGCTGCATATTCTCTTTGCTCTTGATCCACCGATTTCCTGGAAACATCAACCTCGATCATACCATTGTGAGACGTAGTAGTATTTTGTGAGTTCTTATCTGGCGGTAGTACCATTAACCGTACAGTTCTCCTGGATGTTATTGGACGGTTAGCCATATCAACTGATCTACTATTTGTCCTAGCTGACTGACTTCCAGTATCACCCAATTTGTTAACCATATCAATCGACATAGATCTACTGTTCAAGCTCCGATTTGGACGATGAGGAATTGAATACCCTTTCGTACTAGATAACAACACCCACTGACCATCCCCTTCTGATTCTGAAGGTCTTGGTCCATAAGACTGTTGACCGTAATCTCCATTCCATGGTTTATGTTGATAAGCTTCAGCAGGGAATTGTCCAGGTTTACCATCAGTAATTATATCTGGGTCTGCATTATTCCAACCACCATAGAAGTTTTGCGGCCCCTGAGGGACAGCTGGTTTTTGATAATTAGAGGCTTGTTGGGGTTGATTTGAAGAGTAGTCGTATGTTGGACGAACCCATGGACGTTCTGTAGTCCACTGGGATTGTGATGGTTGTTGATGATAACCAACACTTGGTCTGTTCACAGGCCGATTACTTGTCCACGGTGAGTAACTTGGTGACGGGTTGTCTTGTGGTGGAGGAGGCCATGTCGGTCTGTTGTTGGGCTCCCATTTTTGAATATGAGAAGAAGACCAAGCTACAGGCTCTAAAGTCACCCATCCTCGACGATCGTCGTATGGACTTTTCTGATCCTGTTGTGAGTCTACTAAGTTCCACGAGGCTTTTGATTTATCCTGGTTACCGCTATCGTCGTATGACAATACTTTATCAGATGAATCAGACTCGGGACCAGCTTCGCCATAACGCTTCAGGATTCTGTTTAATTCATCCTGGGTGTATGGTTTGAACGTGGCGTCAGTAGAACCACCTAAGTCGATACTTGCACATTCGTTATTATCAGCGCACTCAATAGAGTATTTGACTTTTGCCGGGTCAGAAGCTCCAATCAACGACGCGCCAGTAATGGTGTCACGTCTCCATTTTATACTCCCTGCATTTACATCATCTTTAACCGTAAATGGTTTCGATGTGATAATATAGTTAGTCTGAGAGCTAGGTGAAACCGAATGGAATGACCGCGATTCAGAGTTGGCTGACACTAATATAACTTGCAAAACGATGACAGCCCAAATGAACATTTTTAATTTCTATAGTTTATCAAGTGTGGTGAAAATGTGTTCACATCCTTTGGATCAATCCTCTTATGCCCTGTAACAATTTAAACAAATTCCAAGTTAATATACGTGAATTGCTAGTTATTGAAAAAAATCGCTTTATGGAGAAGTACAGGTAATATGTAAATTTCACTAGGCGTACTTAAAGTGATGTGGAAAGTGAAATCATGGTTATTTAATATTAAATAATAACAGTTATTAAGTAGTACTTTTTTATTCTTATGTTAACACAGATTTTGCCAAAAATCTTTATTTCCAGACATGTCATTACTTTCTATTAAATACTTAGGAAAAGAGAATTTCTATTATTTAATTTTATTTTCTGTAAAATTATAGTATAAGTCATTAAGTACAACTCTGACTTTCCTTTTTTCTAAAACTATGATTTAATGTCCACTAGTTAGTAATGAAGCTAGAACTTAACACTAATTTCTGTAACTTTATAATATATTTTTTGAAATCCTTATCTACATTTTATACCGCGGATGTTTACAAGTTATATTGTACAAAAATAGACAATATTATAAATACCTGTATTAACTAATAGACAAGCTTCATCTTTTTTTTTTTTAATTAAAATTATATAATGTGTATCTATGATTGACATTGTAATTTTTTATAAAGAAAAATAGAAAACATAATATATATTTTTTGTTGTAGGATAAAAAGTAAACTATAGTCCTTCCGCTTTAAAAACGAAAGCGATTGTTGCTAAATTAAAAGGAGAAATCCAAAACAAAAACATCACATTAATGTTATGTTTTACTTAATCCTAAATTTAATTATTATTTTCGTTAAAAAACATTATTAACTATTATTTTTCAATATGAGGCTTTTTTTTGGATTTACTAAAATACATTTTCGAACAAATTGAAAATGTTACATTTGAGCTCTAGAGCGTATCGGTATGATTTTCAAGAATTTATTTTATATACTAGTTTGCCACAATATATTATATGACTGATTATGAAAAAAATAATTAACACGATTTTTTTTTTACATAGATGATTTTTAAATTAATGTATTATAATATAGATATAAGCTTTAAGCAAAAAAGAACAACTTTAAAAGGGCAAATTAATTTAATTGAAAAACAAAACATATAATAAGGGTGAATTTAAAATAAAAAATAGTAGACGGGTGATTTTAAATCTAACCAGCAATTTCAAACAAAATTAATGAGTCACACGTAATGTAACACAGTTACTAATGAATACTTGAGAATATTTGCTTTTATTAAATTGATTCATTTTTTTAGCCGGTAAAAGGAAATCGCACACCCTATTTATGTAAAAGGATTGGTCATATGTGTAGGCTAAAATCAGTAACGCAAAAATCAATTTAAGTTCAAATTTGTCTTCATACTAAACACTACTTTCTACGCTTAATCTAGACCGGTTTGGTGGATTTTAGTACAAACTGATAACAGATTAGATTTGTCGTTAATAATCATATAATATTATTTTTATCATATAAAGCATACTTTTTGTTTGTGTAGATTTAGAAATTAACGTTTTATTTTACTAAAAAATCAACAACTTTTTATGATACACAGTGTTGTGCTATTTCTGTTATAAAATACTCGTACTTAAAAACAAAAAAAATTGGTTTTAATAAGTTAATAAATAAGACATGAAAAATGATTTGTAATACGTTATTTTCTAAATATTTCCAAAATTTAAAAACTATAAGACAAACTTTTACACACAAAACAATATAGCTTAATATGTTGATCGTTTCAAACTTAAGTATACTCATATTATAGAACTTGAAACGAAAATAACAGCAGACCCATGAATTATATTGATGTGAGTTCCTTTAACAGTGATTGCGTACTTGACAAAACAAACAAAATCGTGGAATAGTAATTTGTTTTACACAATGTATATGTCACTACGATCAAAACCACATTTGAATAACTTGAGAGAGAATATTGTACAATGAAAATTCGTTGGTGGATTCACGCAGTTATTGAAGCGCGGAAACGGTGAAAGTACTTTCTATTTCTTTAACTGTAACAGATTTAGACCAAGACAAAAAAAAAAAAAGAATAATAATACTCGATCTCGTTGACTCTGAAAATTTCCAGGTTACGCCAATTAGAGGGATTCGTTTTTATATTTGGTTTGATATTTTCTTACACAAACACGTCAAATAGTAGGTTTACCAATGTAGACAATACAGGTGAAAATCAAACGTGAGTTTAACTGTCGCGTATCTAACGACAATCTTTATTACAATGGCCCGGGGATTCCACAAACAATTGCCCGACCCCTAGGAGAAACTAATGTAAAACGGTGTACTACTACGATAGGGATTAGAAATTCTATTGCAACTATTATAATTGTTAATATTTGGTACTAATAACCCGTTATGCGGTGTAGATAAAGAATAAAAATTCATAAATATACTATTATTTTCCAATTGCATGTCAACAAAACAGAAAATAACGAAATGTCTTCTACGCCTATCATGTCTTGTCTGAGTATAACATTACTTTACTAAAACCGAATTTGATGATTTTTTTTTTATTTTACAACTAGCCTAGTTTTTGGCTCTATAATACATTTTTCTATTACAAACAGAATTTCTTAAATTTAAAATTTATTATTAATACAAAGGCATTGCATTTTTTCCTTTTCAAACCAACCAAACAAATAAAAAAGTTGAAATCAACATATTATATTATGTTCAAGTCTTTTATAAAACATAAATGTTTAAAATAAACTACACACGTGGTGATGCGTACAACTATCTAAACTTGAACTTGGCTTGCGATTATAATAACAGCATCGCACTATTCTTTTAACGCACTTATTTAGTCATACCAAAGGTAAAACTAATTTTGCTGTAACCTAAATATTTTTATACGACTTAAAATAATCAAGCAATTTACTAGTTATGATTTTTTCATTTATTTATTTTAATTAGAGCAATGAATTTGCAACTTCGGCATGGATATAAAATATAACTATTAAATTTGTACAGCGGCTCACTTTACATCTAGATTTGACATTATGTGTATTTATTCGTTGTGTTCATTTTGAAATAGAATTTTCCATTTATTTGGTTTACAACAATAATTTTATTGAAAAAACTGTAATGCAACCATCATAAATTTAGGGAGGGATTTGTCTTCCAAAATATATTTTTAAAAAGCGGCTTTTGGTTCATCAACGAGGTGACACATTATTTTGTAAACACCCATTAAAATATTTAATTAAAGTCCAAACTCAAATTTCTCAAAACAATATGTTCTAAATGTTCAGAAGATATCTAATTGTTATATGGTTTGTTATTCAATACAGCGTTTAGTATTTTTGTTTGTGAAATTAAACCTGTAAAATAAAATAATGAGTTTGATGCAAACGACGAGTAATTAGTTAAACGATAAAATAAAATTCAAACTTCGTGCTTTGAAGTTTGAACCAAAAAATAGTTTCAATAGTCGCCAATTATTCGGGTGGCCCAAAGCGACTTTGTTGTAAACGGCCATTAATTATTAACGTTTTGTTTGTACACAAAACACAAATAAAATTCTCTGATCACCGTATTTATTCCCATGAAAGTATTTAAAAAAATTGTGAAAAAAATGTAAACGTAAAATTGAAATCTTTAAAATAGTTCTCGTCCATTTATATAGATAACTAAAAACAACTTTATTCTAAACGACGATTTATTCGATTATGATATCATGTTTATTTTTAAGTAACTAATTAATTATTGACTTTTAAAAATAGAAATATTTAAATTTTTTAATTTTCGGTAAAAATAAAAAAAATAAATGTAAATATTCGTTGATGTATGTACCTGTTTATGTGCTGCAGCCGATGAACGGTAAACGTGTGTGTGCAACGGGACAGTCTCGACTTATCGGACACCGCGGGATAAGTATTGAGTGGCTAGCGTGTCCGTGCTTGTCCGCGTGTGTGTATAGTCCCACGGCGACGGATCACTTAGTAGTGGTTTAATAACGCCCGGCCGAGGTTTTATTCGTCACTGACACACTAGAATCCCGTCTCGGGAGAGAACCGCCCGGGCGGCAGGCTTCGAAAACGGCTCGGCGAAAAACCACCGGTGCGCCGTCCGCGTTACAACAGCCGATTGCCGGACCCGGAGGAACGCGCGTGGTGGGAGCGCCGGGCGTCGACGGCGGTGACGCACGGTGGGAACGCCAGGTCCGCCGACCACCGGACCAGAACCGCAGGAAAGTTTCTTCTCTTTGGCGCGCGCGGCGGTGGTGGTGGTGGCGGCGGCAGTGCGCTAACCGCTTTTCTTAATTTGACAGTTTTCACTCTGCTGACGGATTGTTTGCCATCCGATGACGATTGTGCATCGTCTCTCTCATAGTCGACTGCCCGCCGCCGTGCCGCCGCTCCATCGCTTTCTATCGCTACACGACACCTTTTGTTATTGTTGTTGTTTTACCGCGTCCCGTCGCGATTAGTCTTCCGTGTCCGAAAGCCACTCGCACTTTTTATATCTTTCTCTCTCGTCTCGTCTCTCTCTCTCTCACTCTTTCTCTCGTTCTTTCCGGTACACGGTTTTTTTTTTTTTTAATTTTATTTCACTTGCCATTATTATTGTTATTATTTTTGCAACAGCGTAGTTTATACAGCAATTAACCGGTTGCCGCTGCGGATACGTCGGCCGTAGGTACCGGGTGTTGCTTCCTTTTCCTTCGAGGTCAATATAGGTTATTATCGCGTACGCCCGGTCAACAATTCAAGTGATGTGAATCAAAAGGGTATAAGTGATATTTATATAAGTGTAAGGGAAAGAAAAAATAAAAATGATTTTTATTAATTATAACTCTAATAATGGTGGTTATAAAAGCATAGTGGATTTTCTAATACGTCTTTTGAGAATTAAACATTTTAAGACAAATGAAAATAATAAAATGTTTCATTGGCCAACATACTGTATGATCAATGATCAGAAACTTACTGTAAAAAAAAAAATTATCACTCGCTCCTTATTTCTCCTCTCGTGATTTAAATTGTATAACATAGTGGTATTTCTCTTTTCCTCCGGCTTTATTATTGCTGCATAACATGTGTAGCATTAGCTGTCGCCGAAAACACCTTCAATCTTTCTCTAGACTACACCGCTTCCCTCCACATCCAGCATCTCCATATTATTGTAGAGTATAAATAATCACTTATTAATTGCTTATGTATGGTACAGTGAAATTGTCTAAGACCTACCCCTAACAAACCGGAAAACTAAATAAAACTAAAATTATGTATAATCCCGCTAAACCGCAATACATGTACATATTACTGAATAAAACGGAAAATGGCGTATTATGGAATTTTCTTACGGTCTTGTACAAGTCTTATACATTGTATTTATTCATGCTTGCGATTTTTTTACTTAAATAAAATTTAATTTTAAGCATGCATTTATTATTGAGTATTGAGATTTAATTAAAGGTGCAAGGAACGGTGGTTACCGGCTACCCACCCGGGCGCAATTGCTAATTAAACCAACACCAGTAATAGTGGCTAGTAATTGGGCAATCTATGGCTTATACCGATGTTAAAAGATAATAATCGGTAAACCTGGTTCTGACTAAACAACCCGGAAAACACTTCCCAGTTCACGTAGAATTATATGTTTGAATAATCGTGTATTTACGCTGAACTTTGAAAAATTAATGTTACTGGTTTTAAATTGTGTCTGTGAAGTTAGAGTTATCCCTCCCTTCTTGGTCCAATCTACTCCGGACCAACATAAATATATAGAAAGATAGTTCTAAAAATGAGCGTGCAAAGTCATGCGCTAATTTTAGGAACCAAAAAAAGTTATAAATACACAGAACTTAACGGGGGGTTGGGTCTGGGGACACATGCAAAATCGTGACAAGTTTCAACATATAAAAAATGTATAAAACGAATTTTAACTCTACTAGTGAGGCTTAAGTTTTAGAGAGGAGAAGGGGTGGGGAAATGTTCATACAGACGGTGTGTGATACTATTTTATAAATGTTTCCGAAATATTAAGACTTACAGATCATTACAAATAAGTAGGATGGTTTAGATTCGTCGAAAATTATATCAACTACAAGAGTATTGTCATGATTATGATAGGAAACAGCCAAGACATAAACTTGGCTTTAACTATCGGCTCTATAATGTACCTTCGACATTTTCTCATCTATATTCTGAATGGGTATGCGAACAAATTGTTCATAATGTTATACATTAAATCGTGGACTAGGTTCAAAACAATGTATTATTTAAAAACACGTCATTGTAAAACCAACACCCTCACAGTTTCTCAACGACTATAAAAAGTTTGCAAATTAAGGTTGAAACCAAGGGCAGGCTAAGCGGTAGCTAGGTCGACAAATAGTCACCGGATTGCTCTCGTTTTAGGTTATGAACTATGTTGTAAAATACTTTATTATGTAGTTCTGTGTCTTATATGTTAAATTAAAAAAAATGTTTTTTTTTTTAAATTTTTTGAGATGATTTTAAATTTGCCTATTGGATCGAGGTTTGTCCAGTCCGTCCCTGGCCGTAGCGATTACTGGTTGAAAGATATTTCAATAGGTTTTAAGAAAATGCTTTAATGTGATTATATAGACTGTAGAGTGTGTGATAAAAAAATATAAAAATATCATCGTCTTTTTTTGATAGTTTTGGAAAATCATATTTTGTGAAAAGCGCTTGAATTCTACGGTTATTATTATTAATATTATTAATTCTACGTTTTTGTAATTATACACTCATCATCAAACACCATTTTCAAAATGTTTAAAAGAAAGTGCGTTTTAATAACATCTGTTCACATATTTGCATTTAAAGAGTTTTCTAGAAAGTATCTTACCACTTCCATCTAGACCGGGCTGTGCTAGAATTAATTGTGGTGTCTTCATAATGTGTCGGTTTATTTTATAACTAGCTTTATAATACACGTGGAATATAAATTATTTTTTTATTCTAATTTTATCCCATAAAGGGATTTTTTGCAGTTACACAGTTATTGTGTTAAGTTTTCTGTTGTATGTTAGTTATTGTTTCTGAGACAATTATTGAAATACTTAAAAAAATACGAAAATATTCTTGCTAAATGCCTGTTAGACGTACAACTTACAATTAGTTTAAACTGATCAATTGGAATGTTGTCGTAACACGCACCGCAGCATAGCATAATACTTGGTTTTAGATAACTCAACAGTAGTAAGCCGTTTTTTTCTTCTTTACATGACCATTTCAAGTTTAATAACAAAGAAACGATCAAATACATTTTGATTTAATACAAGCATAACAAATCTTTGTATTTTATATGGGAACAAAAGAGCAGTAGAGTGATAAAAGAGTATAGAGTAAAAAACTAAAAAAGGAGTTACAAGTCAAAATGACTGAATCTACACTTATTGCTTGCGAATAATTATTAGTTAAATAACTAGACAAACAACATAATTTCGTTTTTTTTTAAGTTTTATCGATTAAAGACTTGTGCTTATCTGAATATTTTGCTTAAAACTCATACAAATTGATGTGCATATATATATATATATATAAATATGTGTATCTAAAGGCTTTATAGTCGTATTTACAGTATGGCAGTACAACAAATTATAATTTAGTTTAAACATATAATACATAATTTATATTATTATGTATTTACTTAGGAATTGGGAGTTTTATGTAGAAACTTAAAAAGATGCACAAAGTACATGGCTGAAGATTATTTAATACAGAGAACTAATTTAACTATTCTGTGCGGCAAATAGGGATTTTATTATATATTATACGATTTTAAATAATCATTGTACATTATTTGTATTGTTGACTATGACAACAATATATCTAATCTAAACGATATTAGTCTTATCATTTTCATCTAGATATTTAATTACACTTGAAATGGTGAAAATGACACACGTAATTAATGTGTTTTCATTTAAATGCTACAAAGAAACAAGAATATTTTATAAATTATTCTTTTAATAATTACCCACGTTAAATTATTTTCGGATGTGATGCTTTTCGTTGTTAACAATCAGAACGTGACCTTTTTTAAAGAAGATCTTTGTGGAGATAAACTAATCCTTATTTAGTAAACAAACAAATAAACATTTCATCTACTCATTTTTGAAAAAAAGTTTTTTCTACAATATATTTTCTTTGACTACTATGGTTAGTTTCCGTTTTCATACAGTATAGGTACCTGCATATTTGATACGTGTATAAAAAAATTATAGGTGGTGAAACTTTTTTATGAAACCTTAACTTGGTCGTCTACGTGTGCGTCCTATTTTATGTTTTATTTTTATGGACGATATAAAATATACCCCGTAGATAAATTTCTAAACGACGTTAAATTAAAAAGTTATAGTTGTTTTCTAAAGATTACATTATGCTTAATGCTTAAGTTCTTCATTAAACACGTGAAATGTTTATTACTTTTTGTTTTTACTTTTTATCTCTACCTTGATATTCTATTTCTAATATTTGCATTCTCGTTTTCACCTTTATAGCGTTAGTCATTACAATAAAACAGATCATAGTCGTTTATCACTATATCTAACAAAATATTATACAATTATTATTGGAACATTTTTTTTTTCATTGAAATCTTTACAAAGAAATATAATGAGCATTAATGAAGAACGCTGACGTATGAACTTATTGCATAGGCGCAAATACGGGGGGGCTAGGGTGGGCTTAGCCTCCCAAAAAAATTAGGTTATGCATACAATTTTGAAATACAAAAATATATTTACTTATATATATTTTTAAAAAATTTCCAGCCCCCCCAAATTAAAAATTGAGATTGCGCTTATGCTTATTGTAATAAATCTTACTTTAATTCTTGGCAAAAAAAACAAATTGTATTTAAATTAAAATTTATATTTGTTTATCTAGCTATATAATAAATTTAATATTATTCAAAAATTGTAATAATATATAACATAATTCGTTGAAGCTCAACATATATAATTTCCAACTCTTCGTATGACGGAGAACCCATCAATGGCTAGTAGACCTACTATGGCCGTTTTTTTCTAAATTTAGAAGTGCAGTATTTTATATAATTTCTTAAGATA